ACCAAGCTCCGCCCCGCGCCCCCGCAGTGCCAGCCTGGCGTCGGTTTCTTCCTTTGAATCTGGTCGATGTGAAAAAAAAAAAAGTCACAGACCTTAAGGTATACGCGATTAATGAAACAGCCACTGCAGGCTATGAAATGCAAAGCTACTGCTGCGAATTGCTGGAGAAAGGGCACTGTTACCCCGTGTTTGCCGTACCGGTTGGGCGGAGAGGAACCTGATGAAGTTCAACAAGGGCAAGTGTCGAGTGCTGCACCTGGGGAGGTTGAACCCCATGCACGGTATCCTGGGGTGCATAAAGAGGAGTGTGGCCAGCAGGTCGAGGGAGGTTATCCTCCCCCTCTACTCTGCCCTGGTGAGACCCCACCTGGAGTGCTGTGTCCAGTTCTGGGCTGCCCAGTTCAAGAAAGATGAGGAACTCCTAGAAAGAGTTCAGAGGAGAGCAACACGGATGATAAAGGAACTGACTGGAGCACCTCCCCTACGAGGAAAGTCTGAGAGAGTTGGGCTTGTTCAGCCTGGAGAAGAGAAGACTGAGGGGGGACTTCATCAACACATACAAATATCTTAAGGGTGGATGTCACGAGGACAGAGCCAGATTCTTTGCGCTGGTGCTCAGCGACAGGACAAGGGGCAATGGGTACAAACTGAAACATAAGAGGTTTCAGTTGAATATGAGGAAAAACTTCTTTACTTTGAGGGTGACAGAGCACTGGAACAGGCTTCCCAGGGGGGTTGTGGAGTCTCCTTCTCTGGAGATATTCAAAGCCCGCCTGGACAAAGTCCTGTGTAACATGCTCTAGGAGAACCTGCTTTAGCAGGGGGGTTGGACTAGATGATCTCCCGAGGTCCCTTCCAGCCCTTGCGATTCTGTGATTATGTGGTTAGCACCCGTTTCCTGAAGCATGCGCTGCAGCCACTGCCCCAGCTGGGGTGCTGGAGTAGGTAAACCTTGGGTCAGTTCCTGTCCTGCTGTTCTTAATGCCTTGTAACTGTGGTTTTGTTAACAAGGGCTTTATATGCTGGGTGTTTTGCAGAAAAGCTGAGGAGTATCTGCGGCTATCCGAGGTGAAATGCACGGGATTAATGGCTCAAATGACAGCGACAAGCAGTGCTGTGATGTGCCTGGACCTAGCAGCTAGTTTCATGAAACAACCAGTTGACAAAGTAAGATAGAGTATATACCTTGGCTGGCTGGTGCTTTCTCTGTAAGTCCACTAAAATCATTGTTCTGCATAGTGTATGTTGGGAGCAGGAAAGGGATAGTAATAACTGACATTACCCTAGATGCAGTAGCATGCTGCTAGACACAGCATTAGAGCTTTCACTACTCAGAGTTTGAAAAAGGTCAAATTGAGATCAGTATCATAGGCACTTCACAAGTCGAGTTTGCTTTGCTAAAGTTTCAGCTTTTTTAGTAAGAAATAAACTACCAGCAAGGATGTTAAATTTAAGATCTGTCCCTTTTACTGTGGGAGGGAAGCAGTGGCTCCAAGGAATCCCTCTCTACAGTGGTACCTGTAAACCTCCATCTGCAAACCTACTGGGTAAATAGCACTGAGCTGCCAAGATAGTGTCTGGTAGATGTTCATGATTATCTGTTTGCAGACAGAGGAGAATTCAATTGGATCTGACCCCATGAGGAGCAGCATGAAAGTATTGCTCATCTCTTCAAGTTGCCCAGATCTCAGTTACCTTTGTTTTTAACCACCTTGTGATAAAAGGGCCATGTCATATCATATGGAAAAGACAAAACTACTCCCAGCAAAATGGTCTAAAACCAGCACTGCATTAAAAGATGCGGCATTCCTAACTGGTTAATCTTTCTGTGTGCAGTCAAAACTTACATAATTCATTGCAGAGATTTGTTTAATATAGCAATTGAACTTAATTTTATGGTGGTGTGTAGTTTCTCCCTAATCTGTTTTGGTTGCCTGAATTAAGATGTTGGGAAGGAATCTTTCTAATACTTGGGGTTTGTCTTTGTCCTCTTGAAAGAGCTATTTTGTTAAACTCTCCGGTTTGAATAAGACTACCTACCAGAGCTCCATGAAGTCTTTGGAATGTTTGCTAGAGGTGAACCCCAGACTGGGAATGCGAGACTTGGCTGTGCAATTCTGCTGCACGGAGGCAGTGAACACCGCTTCAAAAATACTACAGAGGTGAGGAAGCTCTTGTGCGCACACTGGTAGCCACTAGTAAGATTCTTTGTTCATTAGATGTGTAAAAAACTTGACGGTTGGAAGGGCCAGGTATCTCCCACTGACTGGAGAGGTAAGGTGAGTTCTTAGCACTGATAATCCAGCCATTTATCTGGGCCACTTTTTAGCATACATGTTAGAAAGTGTTAATCTGTGAATCTCAGTAAGTCACTGTCTGAGTCCCAGTTCTTCAACTGGGAATAATGTAAAAAATAGAGGACTCTCAGTCCCTGTATTTGTCTGTAGCATTACACTGTCTTCCATTTAACTGCTGATCATGTCACAGTTCAGAAGTAATGCTCAGTAGAAAGAAATCCTCCCTTTTGGAGAAGCAAATCTCTTAAAATGTACGTTACTCTGCCTGTAAAAATAATAGGTAGAACACCTCAATGGAGATTCAACAGATTTAACTAAAATTTTGCACTCTGTACAATCTACTTCAACAAGAACAATCACTGAAAAGCTCTGTTCTGGAGTGCTCTCACCCTGATAGCACATGTTTAAATACTGTTAGGTCAGTGAACAAAGGCTGTGTATGCTTATCAATGCTTAATATAAACCTGGGAACAAGTAGACAACAAAAAAAAAATGAAATTCTTCAGTGCTGCATATCCATCACATCATTTTCCATATTTAAGCCTTCATCTGTGTAATATACATATTAAAGGAAATGAAGAAACTATAATTCTACCCTCTATTATAGCACAGATTTATGTAAAGTATCTCATTGTAACTTTTAGATATAATGTAGATCAAATATACATTATATTATATAATGTAGAGATAAAAGTGCTGTGTGGATGGGGAGCACAAGAAATAGATTTTACTGACATGCCTTGATCCAGATCCCTAATTTAAAATACCTTTAATTCAAAAAGAGGAGGTGATCCCAATCCCTTTCTTTTCCCTCTTCTCTTTTGTTCTTCTCAGCCAGTAGCAGCTGTTTCTGCTTGACTGGGTTGCAAAAGACTGAGTGATCCAACAGGAGACCTGTTCAACTGCTGAGTACCATGTGACAAATTAATTTCAACAGCTTCATTTGAGGCAAATGCACTATACAATTATCACTCTTATTGTTGTTCTTTAGGTATGAATCCAGCCTCTCTGAAGCACAGCAAACAGACCTTGATTTCTCAAAACCACTTTTTATAACAGCTGCACTATTTACTGCATGCAGGTGAGTATGGCTTGAGGGATCTTTTATGGGCTTAAACGCCTAGTGAGACACCAAACAGAAGTAGCACTTACAATGTAAGCAGCGGATTAATTCAGTATGTCTGAAGGGTCTTGCTTAGCACATCCTGCTGGCCCTACTGCTGGAATGGAGACAGCTGTAGCCAACCACCCCTTCCTTGGAAGTCTCCAACCTACACTGCATTTGCCTTCAGGACAGCATAAGTATTATATCAAATATGCAGAAGAGGATCTTGAGTTACTTATCCTAAAATAAATGAAACCTGTCTTCCCTGGTGTGTAATTGGATGCCATGGGTAATTCCATTAGGACATACCCATGGAAGTGGCTGAAAAACTTCTGTTAGTATTTTGTGCTTTACCCCCCTTCCTCTCAGCCTAACCAGCTTAGCATAATCCCTTTTTAACATTTTCAGATTTAGTAGGATTTTGGTTTTTTCATTGTCAGGATAGATTTGAGCTGGGCACAAAGCAAAAAGTTGCTTGGCTTTTCGTGAGATGCTGCTCAAGGTGCAAGAATGGCTGCTAGCTTACTTCTGAGCACTAAGAAGCAGCCATTCTGAAGAAGGTAGAGCCCTAAGCCCTGCTCAATCACAAGGTGCTCTAACCTTTGGGAGATGGTTCTAATAGCTGTAGGCCTCTATCAGCTTGGAAGATAGGTGTCAGGAGCACCTGATTCAGCCAGCCCTTTGTAAGAACTTGCTTGCATGCAAATATCTTCCCTCTCAGTATTATGCCTTGTAACAATCTTATGAAGCAGTTCAGGTGCTGTGTAGTTGCACAGCTCCTGCCACGTTCTTTTGACACAGGGATCCCACTCAGCTTTTTGCAGTAATGGGATTTTGTCCTGGTTCCCTCAAAATCTGAAAAGTACCTTTTCCTAATTGAATTTCCCTGTGTAACTTGAACTAACCTCAAGTTTCAATTCCTTAGCTGGATTGACAGAGTAACATAGAGGTCTATTTTTTAAGCAAATTTGTTTGAGTGAGACAAGTATTAGACAGGACAAAAACTCAGGCCTACCTTCCTCATTCTCACCGGCAGCATTGGTACAGTAAATGTCACCCCACCTGAGTGATAATTGCTGGAGTGTTGCTTTGTACAGAGATAACTTAACTTTCTCTTGTAGGTGTTTGAAGCTTAAAGTGGACAAAACTAAAATGTTGGCTACATCTGGGGTGAAAAAAGCAATATTTGACCGGCTGTGCAATCAGCTCGAGAAGATGAGCCAGCAACTCAGCAGTAAGTTTTTGGCTTTATCCCTGTAAGACAGCATACCCATCATCTGGCCCCACAGTGCCCCATCCTTTTCCACTGGTGATTTCATTCTGATCATTTTCAGCTGTCCCCTACCAGCCAAACCTGCCCATCCATTCCAACATGTTTCTTAGAGCCCAGTTCCCAGTCACAGTCATTGCTTCCGGGGAAGTCACAACAGGCCAAAAATAAGTATTTTCCTCTCTCTGAAATGCTCACTGCTCCTTACATTCTCTGCTGCTGCAATTTATTCCCTTACTGCCTTACTTATCTTGGGTTCCTCCTTCTTGCTTGCTTTCTCCATCCTGTCAACATGGCAACATGACACACAAATTAACATAAAGATCTTGCTACCTCTCTTGCTTTGATTGACTCACTTCTGTGTTTTCCTTTCCCCCACTGCAGGATTAACAAGCCTAAGCCTTGCTCTTCTGGTAGTAATTCAGCCATTACCTGACACCATCCCTCCACATACAGTGGGCAGACATGAGGAATCTTTCTTGCCCGTTGTTGAACCCACAGCTCTCTCCACTCCTTTTGGTGGAGGAGGAAGATTGAAATACAATATGCGCCTTCCTGTTCTTCTATCTCTACGCCTTGCTACTTATCTCCTTTTTCCTTTCCCAGGCTTTCATTCTTACTCTCCCACTGATAGTACCCCTGCTTCACCCTGTCTTCACACTTCATATCATGAAGTTTTCTGGAATGTGCTGCCTGAACCCAAACCAGAAGCTGCTGCTCTCTCCCTAGGCATGGACCTTCCCATAGTGGAGTGCCCTATAAAAAACCCAGAACCTTACCCCACCACTAAAGCAGCTAAAGGCAGCTGGGAGTTTCTGTATCAGTTCGGGGAAGAGTGCACATCTGTATACATGGACAGCTCCCCGCATGTTGTGGACATCTATAATACAAAGCGTGGAAATGGGATAGAGGGGGAAGAAATAAGTGAAAATCCTGCCTGAGTAATCAAGACGGGTAGCAGTGTGGTTTTGGGGTATGAAGATGGTGGATCATTGAGTTACAAATGCAGCAGCAGCGCTAGTTAAAGCAGCCATCCAGTCTGTGCGACCCTTGAGTGTGCTGGCACTTCTGCATGTACAGCTTGAGCATCAGTCTGGACCAGGGAACTGCTCTGACTGGGAGACAATACTTTTGGAAGGTGGCACTGCTGTCAAAGAATTGCATGTAAAATACTATTGCAGCCCCAAACACCATTCAGAAGTAAAGCAACTTAGTTCTTTTTTTAGAAGATGTTCCACTGGCTGCAGAGACATCTGAAAGCTTGCTGAACAACCTGGAACACTGTGAGATGGAAGATGGTAAGTTGTGTTTAGCTGTGAACTAAAATTGCCTCACCAGAGCAGTTCTGAGCATTATTGCTGCTTAGTATTTTAATTGTGTAATATGCCGTAATATTCAGTTCACAGTAGCTTACTCCATTCTGCAAACCACTGGCTAACAAAAGGACAAAGATAACCTAGCAGAAGGACAGTGGTGTTTATATTGAGTGGTCCTAGTAGCATTAAGGATGACTGTTCCATTCAGACACTGAGGTGAAGAGGTGACTATTCCAGCAGGTGAGGGGAGCAGCAAACCGCAGGATTAGATAACAGTGACAGACCTTGTGCTTGAGTCTGTACATTTGCTCACTGCCATGGTTATTCCCAGCAACATACTGCCCATGATGGCCTGTCATGGACTTTTTCCTTCTCTCACAGAATCTGAAGATGATGAAGAGATGCCATGTAAACGGCCAAAGACTGAAACAAAGCAAGACTATGAAGAATGGAAAAAGAAAATCCTGGAAAACGCTGTGAAGGCACAAGAGAAAAGTAGGAGCACTGTCTCTGTAGTGCCACCTAGTAATGTAACTGCTGCTTGCTCGTAATTTTAACTCTCCCTCTGCTTTAACAAGAGTTCCAGTAGCGTGAGTGATGGCTGCCTGGTAGCCCACTGATAAATATTAGCTGGTTTTTAGGTATTTAAGAATGTTATTTTTAGTAAATGACACCAGAATTGAGGTGATTTTATAAGAAGCCTGTCTGACTACCCACCAGGCTGGTACCTGAGCAGCTATGGCATTAGGTGGTAGAATAGCTTTGTTCTCTTGCTGCAAGAAGCAGGTAACATTCTAATGCTGTGTTAAATGTAAATAAGTTATAACTTACATGCTCTTGGGCCCGTTGCTGGAAGTAGTCAGTGGAAAAAGAGGGAAGGGATTAATGGTGCCTTGTTAAACTGCAAAACCAGCAGAGGAATTAAGACTGATTTTTTTTTTTTTTTTACTGTTTAAGAAATATTGTTTAGTCACTGAATTTGACTTATTTTTGTGACCTGTATGGGGCTGAAGTCTCTTGTGCTTGTAAGGGATCCAAAATACTCCAAGAAACAATAAAAATACTGGAAGGAAATACTTTGTATTATGGTATCTGGGCACTTGTCTTATATAACCCCTTAGAACACAAAATAAAAAATATACAGGAGATGTCTGCTTTAAGAAGGAAGCTATCCAGGGGACAAGGATCTTGTTTGGGTAATAGTTCTTTTGCATCTTGCAGTCATAAACTTAAGGAAGATGAGAGAGTGCTCTGCACTGTAGTTCTTAGAGGCAGCTTCTGTGGTCCTACACTTTCATCCCAGCTACTCAAACTACAATTTATGTTAACTACTTTTTGAAGGAAAATCTTTACTTTTAGCAGTACAGGGCTTGTGTAACTATAATAAGACCAATCCAAGTCTTTGCACATCCCAGGCAGAAAACATGCAAGAGAAAGGGACAAAGAGAAATTAACTTTCATAAACCCTCATTTCAAAACAACCCAGAAAACCTCAAGTGCCCATATGAAGCAAGGTAAATTATCTCATGTCAGAGCATTTTGATTTGAAACACTGCCCTCGCCTGAGTTTCTTCTCACCTATTTTAATGGCTTGCCAACATTCCTCACTGCTGTGCATACTCCCTGCTTACCTGGGTGACACTGATCACACCAGGGTTACAATAGTTGATATTATTAACTGCTTTAGATATCAATGCATGGGGCCAGTTTTTTGTCATACTTGCTGTTCCAGTGACTCACAGGTCACCTGTGGTTTCTTCCTTTTAGCTTTTTGTAGGCTCCAAAGCAGAATGCACAGGACATGGTCAAACAACCCATTAAGGCTGCAGAGGTGGGTTCCATTGTACTGCAGAACCATGTGATGGCTGCAGAATCTAAAGGGATTTCTTTATATTAGAAATGAAATAGTAATCCTGTTGGCCAGATGCACCTTCTCTTTGTAGCAAATGGAGAGGAAATACGTGTAAGGCAGCAGAGAGCATCTGTGTGTTACCTTCTTACAAAAATAGAGGAAGAAGCACACAGTAATTGTAAAATTAAAACCTACTGACCATTTTCCTTTCAATTCTACTCCCAATGCATAAAAAGGAAATCACTTGAAGCCAACTTCACTTTAATTCGCAAGAGCTGATTTCGTTCTAGATGAGAGTTCGGAAGTGTAACAGTAAGTACTGGGGAATGGACTCCAAACAAATGCCTGATGTGCAGAGAAAATACTGGATAATTAGTCTGCATTAAGTAAGACCGGTAACAAAATGTCTGCCATTCAGTCTGATCTAATATGTAGCAGAAGGTCCTCAGGATGGGAGAGAATCCAACCTAGTACATGAGCATTCTGTTATTAAGATCTACTGAGAGATGCTTTCAGGTTCGTTTGGCAGGGGGTTAAACCACAACTGAGGAATAGGCTTGTTCCACTTCAATGGAATTTATTAGTATTAATTCAGAAATATACAGACCAATTAATATAATCACACTTAGCATGCAGAACCACTGCGGAAGGAAAACATGAACAAAAGTGGACCTTCACAGAAGGTGATACATTGTCAAGATTACTTCATTTCAATAACTCTTCTCCATCTCAATTCTGGAAATGTTGCAGAAGTCCAGAATTTAGGACTATGCAAAGTGAGAAACACTTTGAGAAAAGTGAGAAGAGATAACTAGATTAGGGTAAGCCAGTCTTACAAACCTCTTTATTAGCGACCAACACTTCTGATAATTCAAGGGATGCGGAAGTCCATAAAGTTAAAGGAAGCTTTACAGTGGTTTGATGCCTTTGCTGGAAAGCTAGTTTTAGTAGTGTTAGTTTCTGGTTTTCCTAAGAGCCCATCCAACTCACACTGAGTATTGCAGAGTCTAGAACAGGAATAAAGGAAACCACAGGTTTAATAAATAATGTTATACTTTTAGCTGAGAGACTGTAAGCGGCTCCAACTCCTTATACATCAGGAAAAAGTTTAAAATCCAAAATAAATTAGTATTGTGGAAAAAATTAATGTTCAAGAGCAAACTGGGGGGGAAAAGGGCTTCAACCTTCTAACTAGGCTAAAGGCAGAGTCTGGCAACACACCGTTTCCCTGCCACTGAACATCAATAAAACCTATTTTGCACATCACACCATTTCAACGTCTCAGACTTCATTAAAACTGTCAGAGAGGAGAATAAAATCCATGAACTAAAACGTACAAAATTAAGGGCTGCGGTCACAGCTAAGGAGAAGCACAACTTTTAAATACATACAAAATGATGTCTGGAAACCTCTTATTTTCTGGACAACATGAGATCTTTTTCCACAGACCCCACAGTCACTAGGTGATTTTTATTTGTGGTAGTTTCACCTATCTCCTTCCAAAAGGTCAATCAATTCAGCTCAATTCAACTCACCATAAGAAAAAGCAGCAATGGACTGACTGACTTAAGTTGCTTCAAACCAGGATTCCTCATATTTCCCAACTATGCAGAGACTATTTTTTAAAGGAGAGAGTAGAATAAAAAAACCCCAACAAACCAAAACCATTCGACTCTGAGTAGTTGCACTGAATCATAATCACGTTTCGGGGAAAAAACTAATCTTTTTGAAAGAATTACAGAAGAAAAGGATATCTGATACATTTTGTTCTAAGTAACAAGCACCCAAGGGAAAAACTGTGCCACTGTTGTGGCAGTACTCTAAAATTAAAGACATACATCAGTCATGAAGAAAGTCTTTAGAGATCCCATGCTTGGTGTGAGAAACCAGAAAACTGACAAGGTGTCTTCTGGTATAAACACACCAACAATACTCTGCAGAATCAAAGCCTTCAGCAAGAAGTCAGCCCCAATAACAGCCATATTTTTCCATCACTATGTACAACAACTAAAAACTTGTAAGAACAAGGTCGCTTCTGCTTTGAGAAATTATTTCCGTGCCTCTTCCTTGAGGCAATTCTGGAACCTTAGCACTAACACACACAATATTTGAGGAGGACAGACCCAAAACCTTATGTTGTAAAACAAAGGGGCAGAAATTATTGAAGATACTGAGTCCTTCTTCCATGGCTTCATGTCCATCTCGAAGAGTGGTAGATGCTTCGTACAAGCTTATGCAAGCTTGACAGACATACTCTGAAATCTCTTCAGCCTGTTAGCAGCAGCCACCACATAAAAATGTTTCTGTGAACAAAACAGAGCAGTCCAAGTGTGAGTGCAACTGAGAGAAAGGACCCTATCTGTGGCTGATATGGATTTTTCTTCTTGGTAAATCCATTTATCTCTAGTGACCCATACCTTGTGTGGACTGCAGTGCAGACCAGCTTTGTACTGGGGAACCACTGATGACTGCAGAACAGACTGCTGGTACTGTGAACTTCGGCAGCATTATTACGAATTGCGTAACAATATGCCTTTACATTACGTATTTTAAAAAATACAAGTGCATAAATCTGCAACCAAACAGCTGGAATGCAGGAGTGGAAAAAATATAAGCCTCTGGTTTAACTCCTTGGCAAGGAATTTACAACTCTCCAGTGACAAAAGGAAATGGTCCTCACTGAGTTTTCCTTATATTTCCACAGGCTTATTTATAACAAGATCACTGTGTTCACCTTTCAGGATTGACTATATCCAAGCCAACAGAGACTCCAATAGAAATTCTTATTTATCACTTCTTCACATAGAATTTAGTTCTGAAGGAGCATGGGGTTATCAGAAAGGTCCTTAAGCCTATTTTTTTCTCTCTCCCACACTATTTCTCTCGGCAATGGGAGGCACAAAACTACCTTATGTTGTATCTTTATGCCATATTGACAACAGAACAATGCAACTATTGCCAATGGAAAAAAAAATCTCCAATATGAAGAGAAAGAACATTTAGTATAAGCTAAGTAGCATCGAAGTCTCTGAACTTACAAAGAAAAAAAAAAACCATAAAACTTCTAAGACACCAATCAGGAGGAATAAAAATGGAAACCAAACATGCTAAAAATAGAGGCAATATCATTCTGCAGGAGAAAAACAAACTTAATTTACAACTGAAAATAGGCTTCCCAAACTCATATGTACAAGAAAGAAGCCTGTGGACAGAAGTGAGCCAATATACAAAGAAGGAAGGAATGGCTCTGCCTGTGTTGAGCTGATCTTCCCTCTGGAAGTAGATTTGCCAGGCTTTGTCTATTTACCTTCCATTTCCTGTGAGCCATGTAACTCTGCAGCAACAACTGGGACTTCAGGCGAAGCTTAGACTTCTTGGCTTTGGCAGGTAGATTGTTTAACCACTCGTGCTTCAGACACTGCGTTGCACTCATCCGGCAGCTGCAGGAGAGGAAATCTGCCATGTAAATCCAGCTCCCTGCGTTGCCATTTTCTCAGTGCCCTGTGCTCCTCAACATTATAAAGAAACTGCCTTAAAAGAACCAACACAAGTGAGTGGAAATGCTTCCCAAGTTGCTGTTCATCCCAGTGCATAGGACCCTAATGACATCCTGCACTCCCCAGTGCAAGGGGTGAGTGGTGTGGAAAGCTGCTGGTGGGTCTGCAGTGGGTTGATGGAGCTGTGGTCAAATACCGTATTTTGCCTTTTCACGGTTTGGTTTTGGGCATGTTTTTTTCTTTGAAGAAGCAGCTGTACAGGTTCATCAGTTTATGTATCATTTTATTATGTGAATGCAGAACTTTGCTAAGAGAATCAGTGCATCCAGAAAACTCGTATTTGTGGTGTTACCTGGCTGTGCACGCTTATTCTGTGCCTCACATTTAAAAAGCACAGTTGTCTGTTCACCCTGAACTTGGATCAAGCTAAACATACCTTATTCCCTAACATTCAACAATGGGGCCACATGCGAAGGCCTATCCAAAAAGCTTTGAGAAATATATGGTAGTAGAGGAAATCTTGGGGGGAAGGTGTTGAGGAAAAAAAAAAAGCTTAATTTGCCTTTTTTCAAAACAAAAGCCTAAGCCTAACTCCTGAGCTTTGTCTGAGCTGTCACTGAGAAGATGATGAAAAGATGACTCCTGTCTGCTCGCACCCAATTTCAGTAGTCAGGGGCGGTAGGTACAGATCTTGCACAATGCCAGACCTACTGTCCCAGCATGGCAAAGACGCCTGGTCTGTGGGAGAGCGGAGGCTGTCCATATACCTCGTGAACAACTGGGCCAACTACTCTTTGCATCTCACTGATGCCACCCTTTTCTTGCATAGCCATTTCATTCATAGCTTCTAACCAGACTTTGCATGGTGTCCCTCTGGAGTCCTTATTCCCATTGCACAGAAAAATGGAAGACTCCAAAGCAGAGTTTACAGTCTCATAGCAAATCATCATCACAGTCTGAGAAAAAAATCCTTTGTTGTCTCCTGCTGGCAATATGCTGAAGTTCAGTTTATTCCTAGCTTTTGATATGACTTACTGTTCAAAATTTAATTAGTACTAGAACTGATTTGTCTGATTTAGGTAATGATCTGGAAGTTGTTAATACTCTAAGCACTCCTTTGAATTCCTCTTGAACACACAATCTGTTTTACTGTATGCATCATTTCCTGTTTTGATTAGTTTTGTATCACTACTCAGCAAGAGAGAAATTTCTCTACTCGCTTACCCAGCCCCATAGCCTGGCCTGACATCAATATCATCCTCATTCTCTTCTGTTGTTTCAAATGTGCAATTGCTTTTTATTTCAATGGAGCCAAGACTGAGAAGCCACATGCAGAGCTAAGTCCCAAATGCTCCTTAATATCTAACCAAATTATGTAGACCACTTTAGAAGAGAACAATGCACATTTGCACAGCTGCAACTTCCATTTATCCTCCATGGCATTCAAGAGACATTTCTGCAATTTGTGTCAGGCGTGTGAGAATCCAAAATAACAATAGAAATAGCTTTTGCT